GCTGGTGATAGGGAACCCAAGGTTGAGTAAGGATATTGTTCATGTGTTGTGAGATTGTTAACCATTGTCATAGGGCAATGTTTGTAGTAACTGTTAAATGAGAAACTATTTTGTTCTGTAAGCCTTCATCTTAAGTGAGAATAACAGCGCAATTGGAAGAGTGTAGTCAATGTCACCGAACTGTGCATGTAGACATTTTTGAAATGGTGTATCTTTGGCTATGTGTATTTTCACCAAAAAGAAAGAGTTTGAGAAGTTAGAGGGTTGATATGTTGTGGGGTTGTTAACCAATGTCATAAAACATGTGTACTTCTGTTTCAGGAGAAACTATTTGTTCTGTAAGCCTTCACCTGAAGTACAATAAAATAAAATTTAAAAAAAGAAACAAAAGGACAAATATTGTATGAGACCACTATTATAAAAAAACATGAGAAGGTTTACCCACTGAAAAAAAAAAAAATTCTTTGATGGTTACCAGGGCAGGGAGGGGCTGTGATTACAAGCTAGATAGAAGACACGTGTTAATGCTGGTGAAGGGAAGGGGAATGCACAGTGTGGGGAAGTCAGTACAACAGGACCAAGGCAAAGGAAGACACTGAGAGGAACGCTAGGATAAAGGGCAACTACGGTAATTACTATACCATGGACAATCCTGCAACAATAGAATTAACAAATAATTTACAAATGGATACGTAGGTAGATGGGCATACGAAAGAGGCGTGGGAGGGGGCAAGGGAGCACACTCACCTGCAGTTATGGTTTGGTTGTGGATATTTCTATATATATAATTGTAGGTGCTGCATGTATATTAATATAGACAGTAGAGAACACAAGGGGTACAGTGAAGGAAACTTCTTAGACATAACCAAATACCTCGAGGAATGAAATTTCTGGGCTTGAAGGTGAAGGACCATAGACTCGAGACGTCTACATCAGTTGGCACAAAAGAGTTCATAAAGACAATGTTCTACATCCTACTTTGCTTAGTAGTGTCTTGGGTCTTTAAAGTGGCCAGCTAAGATACAACTATTGGTCTCTTCCCATCCAGAGCAAAGGACAGTAAAGAAGACCAAAGACTCAAGGAAGCAATTAGTCCGAAGGAGTAATGGACCAACGACATGAACCACAGCCTACAATACACTGAGACCAGGAGAACTACATGGTTCCTGGCTACCACTACCAACCGCTCTAACTGGGATCACAACAGAGGGTCGCAGACAAAGTGGGAGAAAAATGTTGAACAAAAAATCAAATTCACAAAAAAAGACCAGACTTACTGGTCTGACAGAAACTGGAGGAACCTCAAGGACTGTGGCCCTAAGACACCCTTCTGACCTGGAACTGAAGCCACTCTAGGTGACCACCTTTCAGCCAAACCATAGACAGGCCCGTAAAATAAACAGTAACACCCTAGAGGAAAGTCTTCCTTAAAACAATCAAGTATACGATATCAAAAGGACAACATTTTCCTAAAAGCAAAGATGAGAAGGCAGGAAGGGGTAGAAAATCAGGACAAAAGAACGTAGAGAACCCAGTGCAGAAACTGGTAGAGTGCTGGCACATTGTGGGGAATGCAACCAATGTCATGGAATACTTTATGTACCAACTATTGAATGGGCAAATAAATTGCTCTGTAAACTGTCACCTAAAGCACAATAAAAAATGTTTTTAAAAAAAGGCAGGGGAGCACTTTGGACAACCACGTAAAAAGCGCCTTTAAGTTTTAAGCTTTACTTCGCACACTGATTTCCCCCAAGCCCTCCTACCCGGGCCGTGGCTGTGAGCGCTTGGCATACCAGAGTGAGTAGAGTAGAGGGGACCTGCATTGTTTCTGATCCTTTCTCCCACTGTTCCCCTACCTTGGCCATTCTGTGGTGACATCAGCGTTTGAGTGTACAATAACAAAGACACTTTTTTGTTTGTGGCTTACTGTAGTCATTAAATACATACTGGTTTTTCTTTGTCTTTCAAATCAACGAGAGTATCTCATGTCACATATACAAACTGTCTAGCATTGACTATGTACTAGACATCATGCTGAACAATTTCCATATCTTCATTTAGTCTTCGTATGATTTCTGCCTAGTTGTTACTGTTCTTACTTCATTATTGTTGTTAGACTGCCTTTGAGTCAGCCCCCAACTTATGGCAAACGCATGCACAATGGGATCAGACCATTGTGATCCGTAAGGTTTTCATTGATTTTCAGAAGTAGATTTCCAGGCCTTTCTTCCTACTCTTAGTCTGGAAGCCCCACTGGAACCTGTTGAGCGTCACAGCAGCACACAAGCATCCACTTACAGAGGAGTGGTGGTTGCACATGAGGTACATTGACTGGTAATCGAACCTGAGACTCACACAGGGAACGTGGGAATTCTACCACTGAACCACCTGTGCCTCTTAACCAAACTGATGCCGTCAGGTCAATTCTGACTCATAGCGACCCTGTAGGACAGAGTAGAACCACCCTATAGCATTTCCAAGGAGTGGCTGGTGGATCCGAACTGCTGACCTTTTGGTTAGCAGCCTAAGCTCTTCACCACTGCGCCACCAGGGCTTCAGTGTGTCATAGACACAAGTACTTAAAGGTTCAGGGGTGCTCAGCAACCTATTCAGTGTCATATAGCTAGTGAGAAGCAAAGTCAGGCTTGGAACCTCTAAGTTGAACACTCTGCAACCTCTTTATAAAGAAAGGATGTGCACATCCCCTAAGCCCAGCAGATCTCCGAAAATAATCTCTACAATGGCAAACCTACAATCCATCTTAATTTTTTTCTTATGTTCTACAGTGTCACTGCCGATTTATTCCATCATTTTGGAATTATCGGCTAATAGGATGGCCCGGCTCACTGTTCTGTCTGGCGTTTTTATTCTCTACGCAAAACCAACCATTGATAGCAACAGGGATGTGTCTGGACAACTTAATTACAGTCTGACTCTTCTCTCATCCCCTCTCCCTTGTTGGTCTGGATGCTAATTCCTATTCCACTTGTTCTTGGAAACATGATTGGTTTCCGCAGGCAGAAAAGACTTACCAGTGTCGGGTGATCTGAGGCATAAAAGGGCCGCAGGGCCCCCGAGTTTGGGGAGCTATGGGTCTTCTTGGTGGCTGGTACCTTGGTCATCTCGGAAATCCTTCAGGCTGGGCCTGTGCCCCCAAGGGAAGGGTTTATCCAGAGCCGCCTTAGTCTGCTGCCACTGGTGTAAGACGCTCCAGCAATTTCTCCCTTATTCCAACTCCCAATTCCTCAGACCCCAAAGGAATTTCTGTCCAAGGAGTACTGGGAAAACAAGTTGTCTGGATCTTCCACAGACAGGAAAAGGAAGGCCGGGCAAGGTGGAATCCAGGAGGTCTGCAATTATTTACTTTTCAGAAAGTTACAAACTTTTATGAGCTTTTGCCCCTCTTCAGAGGGGGATATCTTTCTTTCTTATAAATGAAAATAAAATATGAACTAAAAAAATAAAACTCCACTGACAAAGTGTGAGGGGCCCCCTGGAGGGGCCCCCAGAGCCCCATCTTCCAGCCGCCCCGGAAGATCTGGACTAAGGCAGCCCCAGGACCAGGTTCAGCGGGCCACTGCAGGGAGGAAAAGCGGCCAGTAACTGTGAAGCTGGGGCCAATGGTTGTCTGGCAACGAGACGCTGTGGAAGGCTTCCTCATTGGTTGGGATTGGTGGGGGCGGGGTCGCGAACTAGCCCCGCGAAAGTGACTAGCACTCTGGCTCGTAGCAGGCAGCAAGGAAGCCAAGTTCTCCCAACTCTGATTTCCCATCCCAGGCCTGAAGACCTCTGTGCTTTCTCTATGCCCAGCTACAAGCTACTCCTTCCTTTCATATGGTTTGCTCCCTCCTACTGCTTCTTCAGGAGCCCTAGTGGTGCAGTGGTTAAAGCACTGTATTGCTAACCAAAAGGTTGGCTGTTTAGAACCACCAGTCATTCAGAGGGAGAAAGATGTGGCAGTCTGCTTCCTTAAAGATTTACAGCCTTGGAAATCCTATGGGGCAGTTCTACTCTGTCCTATATAGTCGCCATGAGTCGGAATCAACTAGATGGCCGTGGGTTTGGTTTTGGGTTCTAGCTGCTTCCTCACAAGTGACTTCCTGTGCCTTGGTTTGGTAGCTTAGTATCCATCTTTAGCCCCATAATTATCTTAACCCGAGATGCTTATTTCTCCCCTTTATCCTTCTGACAAACTCCTACTTATCCTTCAAAGCCTCCTCCCCCAAAATGTCTCTCTCTCTCTTTCTCTGTGTGTGTGTGGCATTTATTGAGTGCTTGGAATATGCTATATACTGTTCTAAGTGCTTTTATATGTATTAATTCAACTGTCACAACCTCTTTTTTAATAAAGGTGCTTTATTACTCTATTTTACAGACTTGGGAAACTGGACCACAGAGAAGTTAAATGACATGCTTAGGGCCACACCTCAAGTGCCTGAGCTGAGATGCAAAGCCAGAACTGTCTGATTCTAAAACCCAAGCTCTTCCCGACTTAGCTGTATGACCTTTGGTAAGATGCCTAACTTTACTAAACCTCGGCTTCCATATCTTTAAAATGGAGATAATAACTTTATCACAGGTTGTCAAGAGTTAAAGCAGATAATGCATATAATTTCTTGACAATCCCTTCCCCAAGAAGAGTTAGTCATTCTCTCAATGCAGTATTCATTTCATAGACTGTGTTAATAATAACTGATATTTATGGATTACTCGCTCTGTGCCAGATACTCTACTAAGTACTTTATTACATTAATTCATTTAATCCTGCCACGGATGTATTGCACACATTGTGATTTGCAAGCCTTATCTTGGCATTATTTCACACTGGCTCAATCTGATTCATGTTTGAATGTTAAATCTCAAGCTCATGGGGATTATGATGTCATCGTGGCCACATAGTGACCTCATCTTCTCCTTAGAAGGCATTCACTGTGAGAAGACATCCCATAGAATACAAAACACCTCGGCATACAGCTCCAGATGCCGACGCCGGGAAATCATTATTTTCTCGCCATTGTCTGAAGCCTGAGCCTGACCTTCCCTTTCATGGGAAATTTTCGTTCTCCTGCTTCGTTTTTGGGCAACATTAAGCAATCAGCAGGCACTCTCAGAAGAACGCAGCTAAACTGAATCGTGTTCAGAGGATGGGATTGGGGATGAGAAGAGATGAGAAAACCAGACAGAATAGAAGATGTTAAGCCCCAAGCAGAACAAATGGCTGTCTTCCTATGTCTTTGAGAGACAGGCTTGGTGAAGATTGATTCAACTAGCTTTATATGAGTCCGAGGAATAGGAGGAGGATTTTGACTCAATATGAGGAAGTATTTGCACAGCAGGGCATAGTTTTAAAAGGCATGAGCTCTAGAATCAAACTGACTTGGCCACTGAGCAGCTTCAGTGAGAATAACCCTCATAAGACTATGGTGAAAGTAAAATAGGATAATCCATCTGAAGTACAGTGCCTAGTACAAAGGAAGTGCTCTATAAATGTTTGAACTTAATATTTTTGTTATTAATACTCAACCGTTAGAGCCAGGCGACAGGTGGAAATAGTGAGGGCGCTGGAGATGAAGAGACCTGTGGCCAAATACTGGCTCTCCCATTTACTAGCGATGACACCTTGGACAAGTCACTTCATTGAACCTCAATTTCAACGTGAATAAAAATGGTGGTGGTTATGCCCACCTCACACAGCTGGAAGGACTAAGTGAAATGATGAATATATAGAGCCTAGTACTCAGTAAGGGCTCAATGAATGTTATTTCCCTTCTCTGTCCGTGTTGTTGTTGTTACTGTTAGGTGCCATCCAGTCAGTTCTGACTGATAGCGACCCTGTATATACAACAGAATGAAAGCACTGCCCAGTCCTGTGCCATCCTCAGAACTGTTGCTATGTTTGAGCCCATTGTTGCAGCAACTGTGTCAATCCATCTCGTTGAGCTTCTTCCTCTCTTTTGCTGACCTTCTACTATACCATGCATGATGTCCTTCTCCAGGGACTGGTCTCTCCTGATAACATGTCCAGAGTACCTGAGATGAAGTCTTGCCATCCCGGCATCTAAGGAGCATTCTGGTTGGACTTCTTCCAAGACAGATTTTTCGTTCTTCTGGCAGCCCATGGTATATTCAATAATCTTCGCCAACACCATAATTCAAAGGCATCGATTGTTCTCTGGTCTTCTTATTCATTGTCCAGCTTTCCCACGTCTATGAGGCGATAGAAAATACCATGGCTTGGGTCAAGCACACCTTAGTCCTCAAAGTGACATCTTTGCTTTTCAATACTTTAAAGAGGTCTTTTGCAATAGATTTGCCTGATGCAATACGTCATTTGATTTCTTGACTGCTGCTTCCATGGACGTTGATTGTGGATCCAAGTAAAATGAAATCCTTGACAACTTCAGTCTTTTCTCCATTTATCATGATGTTGCTTATTGGTCCAGTTGTGAGACTGTTTATTTTCTTTATGTTGCGCTGTAAACCATACTGAAGGTTGTAGTCTTTGATCTTCATCAGTAAGTGCTTCAAGTCCTCTTCACTTTTCAGAAAGCAAGCTCGTGTTATCTGCATAAAGCAGGTTGTTAATGAGTCTTCCTTCAATCCTGATGTCCTCATCTTCTTCATATAGTCCAGCTTCTTGGATTATCTGCTAAGCATACAGATTGAATAGGTATGGTGAAAGGATACAACCCTGACACACACCTTTCCTGACTTTAAACCATGTGGTATCCCCTTGTTCTGTTCAAACGACTGCCTCTTGATCTATGTATAGTTTCCTCAAGAGCACAATTAAGTGTTTTGGAATTACCATTCTTTGCAATGTCATGATCCACATAGTTGAATGCCTTTGCATAGTCAGTAAAATGTTTACACAGGTAAACATCTTTCTGATATTATCTGCTTTCAGCCAGGATCCATCTGACATCAGCAGTGATATCCCTGGTTCTACGTCCTCTTCTGAATCCAGGTTGAATTTCTGGCTATTCCCTGTCTATGTACTGCTGCAACCATTTTTGAATGATCTTCAGCAAAATTTTACTTACGTGTGATATTGATGATATTGTTCAATAGTTTGCACTTTCTGTTGAATTACCTTTCTCTGGCATAAGCACAAATATGTATCTCTTCTAGTCAGTTGGCCAGGTAGGTGTCTTCCAAATTTCTTGGCTTAGACCAGTGAGTGCATCTGTTTGTTGAAACATCTCAACTGGTATTCCATCAATTCCTAGAGCCTTGTTTTTCATGAATGCCTTCAGTGCAGCTTGGACTTCTTTCTTCAGTATTGTTGGTTCTTGATCATATGCTACCTCCTGAAATGGTCGAACATTGACCAATTCTTTTTGGTGCAGTGACTCTGTGTATTACTTCCATCTTCTTTCGATACTTCCTGCGTTGTTCAATATTTTGCCCGTAGAATCTTTCAGTATTGCAACTTGAAGCTTGAATTTTTTCTTCATTTCTTTCAGCTTGAGAAATGCCAAGCATGTTCTTCCCTCTTGGTTTTCTAACTCCAAGTCTTTGCACATTGCATTATAACGCTTTACTTTGTCTTCTCAAGCCACCCTTTGAAATCCTCTGTTGAGCTCTTTTGTGTGATCATTTCTTCCATTCCCTTTAACTACTCCATGTTCAAGATCAAGTGTCAATGTCTCTTCTGACATCCATTTTGGTCTTTTCTTTCTTTCCTGTCTTTTTAATGACCTTTTGCTTTCTTCATCTATGATGTCCTTGATGTCATCCCATAACTCGTCTGGTCTTTGGTCATTAGTGTTCAGTATGTCAAATCTGTTCTTAAGATGGTCTCTAAATTCAGGTGGGATATAGTCAAGGTTGTACTTTGACTCTCGTGGACCTGTTTTAATTTTCTTCAACTTCAGTTTAAACTTGATTAGCAATTCATGGTCTCTTCTGCAGTTGGCCCCTGGCCTCATTCTGACGGATGATATTGAGCTTCTCCATCGTTTCTTTTCACAGATGTACTCGATTTGATTCCTGTGTATTCTATCTGGCAAGGTCTATGTGTATAGTTGCCGTTTATGTTGTTGAAAAGGTATTTTCAATGAATAAGTCATTGGTCTTGCAAAATTCTACCATGATATCTCTGGCTTTGTTTCTGTCACCA